AGGTATTGCTGATTTGTTATGATAATAGGAATTCACCAAGAATGTTTGGTTCTGGAATTCCTACTGCAGCTGCTTGGGGTTGATGCTTGATAGGTATCCTTAATTAACATTTTATGGATTCAAGATACCTGTAACAGCTAGCATGTTTACAGGAAGATGAAACYGGAAGAGATGAGGGGGAAATGCATGATATTTGACAACCAAAGGAATCACTCTATGGACACATGAATTACAGAAATATATAGGGTGATTTCATGGAATAAGAGATCCCATTAAAGTTTATGACATAAGAAATGAGAATTCCTACAGTAGATTACTTAAATTTGAGTTATATTTCTGTGACTTATCAGATGAGAGAAATAGAAAGCTATATATAACCTCTATCCATTTAAGTTCCACTTTTAAAATGTGGACAAGAATATTACTTGTGTCAGGAAGTTTTTGTGGAATTACAGAAGTGGGTAGATGTAAACATAAAAACACTGTGTAATTGTGGTCCATCTTGTTTGACCTAGATATGTATATATGTGGCTGTGTAACCAATGTGATTCTGCAACCTGTACACTTGGAAAAATGAGAAATTATACCCCATTTGATTAAAATGTATGATATGTCAAGATCATTGTATTGTCACAAGAAACTAATAAAAAAAAAAGAAGAAGAAGAAAAAAAAGAAAGCCAAAAAAATAATAATAAACTCTTGTTTGACCTAGATACATATAAACGCAGAAATGGGCAATTTCAGAGAATTTTATTGGGAAAATCCCTTGTATCTAAAATAACAGCACAAGATGTACAAAACCACCAATTTTTATGGTTAAAGAAAGCAGKTTTTTTTTAATAAGGTGGAAATCATGCTATCACTTTCATGGCATTTACCTATTGTATTCATGAGTGAATTGAAKAAAAATGCCACCTGTAGGCTCTCCYGGAGATAGGTAACAAATATAGATATATATTTTTATTTCTTATATATATTTATTATATATATGATATGTATTAAATTTGTTAGAGATTGATAAGGATATTTCACCATTCTTTGGTTTTTAATATTTTCCCAAAGGAGTTCATTTTCCTATATTTATTCTTTATCTYTTGTTAAATCCCTTATTTTTGCTGGTATACTATTCATTACTTTCTAATAAACCATTATTACAGAAAAATGTCTACTTATTCAAGTAGAGGCATTGGCTATAAATTAACCCTAAATGATAGTGAAATGAGTTTGTTGTAATGATGAAACTTCTTTCTTTTGTCTGATTGAATAGTTTTCATAAAATATTATAAGAATGGTTGAACATATTACAGAAAAACATACCAGTCATTTTTATGAATTTCAAAAACTAACCTTGTTAATACCTATCTACTTACAATATTTTATAACAGAACATTTTCATAAATGTTATTAAAACAATTGCAACACATCAGAAATTAAAGAATGTTTTGAATCTCACATATTTATAACAAACTAATTAAAATAATAATATTAAAATAATAAATAATAGAGGGAAATTAGTACAGTAGGACAAGGAGTTCAGGGGAAGGTAGGTAGGGAGGAAAAGGAAAGGTTCTGATGAGTGATATCAATCAAATTATGTTATGTGCATATATGAATATCACATAATATCCTACTATTATGTATGATTATATGCACCAATAAAAAAGTTTGGAAAAAGGTGAGATTAATTAATTAATTAGCACTTGGGAGGTCCACAGATACCTTAAACTAATGTGTACATTGAAATAAAATCAAAAGAGCTTCTAATAAAAAACCATATTTCCAAACCAGATCTTACCTTCAAGTCTGACAGAAGAAAACTGTTTTTAATTTGTTCTTTATAGATATATATGGCAGTAGAATGTATTTTGCATATTATAAATACATGAAATATAACTAACTTATTCTAAGTAGGATCCTATACTTGTTGTTATACATGATGCAGAGTTACTCTGGCTGGATATTACAATTCAAGGTTAGAAAAGTTATGTCTGATTAATTCTATATTCCTTGTTCCTATTTTACCTCCCCAACTTTCCTTCATTCCCCAGTGTGTAATCTAATCTTCTTCCCCTCCTCATCTTCCTTTGTTGTGTATTAGCATCCACATGTCAGAGAAAATATTTGGCCTTTGGTTTGGGGGAACTGGCTTATTTTCACTTAGCATGATATTTTCCAGTTGCATCCATTTACCAGTAAATACCATAATTTCATTCTTATTTATGACTGAGTAATAATCCATTGTGTATATATACCACATTTCTTTATCTATTCATCTGCTGAAGGACACCTAGGTTGGTTCTGTAGGTTGGGTATTGTGAATTGAGCTATTATAAACATTGATGTGGCTGCATCACTGTAATATGCTGATTTTAAGTCCTTTGGGTRTAGACCAAGGAGTGGAATAACTGCATCACATGTGGTTCTATTCTAAGTTTTCTGAGAAATCTCCATACTGCTTTCCAGAGTGTTTTCACCAATTTGCATTCCCACCAGTAATGTTTGAGTGTACCTTTTCCCCACATCCTCACCAACATTTACTGTTATTTGTTTTTTTCATAATTGTCATTCTGAGTAAAGTGAGATGAAATTCCAGTGTAGTTTTAATTTGCATTTCTCTAATTGCTAGAGATGTTGAATATTTTTTCATATATTTGTTGACCAATCATACTTGTTCTATGAAGTGTCTGTTCAGTTCCTTTGCCCATTTATTGATGGGCTATTTGGTTTTCTGTTGTTAAGTTTTTTGAGTTCTTTATATATCCTGGAGATTAAGATGTATCACCCGCACCGAAGATAGAGAACTACGGACTTTCTCCCATTCTTTAGGCTCTCTGTCCATATTCTTGATTGTATCCTTTGCAGTGAAGAAGATTTTTAGTTGGATACCATCCCATTTATTGATTTTACTTCTTGAGAAGAAATGTTTTACATAGTTCCYTGTTTCATTTCCTCTGTTACTTCTTTAATTTGCTTATATATCCATCTTGAAATTTGTGATACAATTACATATGTTATTTGTTGGCTGTTCAATGTTAAAGATATATCTTTTCTCACTTATCACTGAAACCACCTTTCCTCAACTTTCTCTCAATAGTTCGTATTGTTGATTATTATTAATTTAATAATATCACTAAATTAAATATTAATTCAATTCTGTCAACCACATCATCTTAATGCATTAAATTTTATTTTKTAATAAAATATACATAATTTATATTGGATTTTATTAAATTAAAAATATAGGTGACTTTACTATTCTACTTACCTCTCCACCAATTCATCCTTTCTACCTACCATATTCTACCACCTATACTTTGCATTTATATTATCTTTATCTGACTTTATTACATTCAATTATATTAATGTGAGTATATTTAAGTGTTCTCTGCTTTATCTAAAAGTTGAGTTTAAAAGTGATATCCAGCCATCAACATTTACATTATTTTAAATATATAAATATTAACAGAAAAATTAAAGCTAAAATTTCATATTTCTTTTCCAAAGTTTCCTATTTTGCAACTTACAACCATTTGAAGACCAATATTTTATGTCTCCAGGCAGAAGAGGATATGCATTTTACTAAGAAATAAGAGCTTAATATATTAAGTTAATGTAGTCAACAGAAGTATTCTCCAGAAGAATATTTGAATATTTAATTTATGCAAATTTTTATTCTCTAGAATATTTAAATATAAAATATATGTTAGAGTTGCTTTACTACATATTAATATAGGCACAAAAATAGATATATTTAGTTTTCAATACCTATTTTTACTGTTGTAATTAACTGGGTATGTAATTGTGACTTCTTTTCTTACAAGTTTGATGCATAATATAAATGACCAAATAAATACATTTAAGTTTTAATAAGAATTCATTAACTTTCATATATGTTTTTAATTTTTACTCTTTTTTCTCCCTCCACTTAACTTAATGTTCTATAGTTGAATTTCCATTTGCCTTTTCATTTTTTAACTGTAAAACCATTTGTGCTTTTATTTGTGTTTCATTTTCATTTTGTTGGTGATAAAAGCAGCATTTCCAATGTAGTTTAGTATGATCATTCCTATTTAGCTGAACATTATACATTTCTCCTCCTGCCCAAGTTATTGTCACTATTTTAGATAACTTTTAACAATAGAGATAATATATCTATTCATATCATTTGTGAATAATTTGTATCATATGTCAGTGTCAATTTTTCTTCTCTTGCTGTAAATTAATAAGAAAACTGCTTATCATTATTTATAAGAGTCAATTTAGTGTCAGTTTAGGTTATGCTTTTTAACTCAGGAAATTAACAATCTAAGTGTTGAAATATGRAAGGTCAGATTTATCAAAATAAGTTCAGGGTGCAATAATAATGGAAAACCTGAAACAGAGAACTGGGCCAAAGAAAATACTAAGACAATATAGTTAATGGATATTTCCATTTTTTTTTCTTCCACATAGTATTAATTTGTGAAATTTATAGAAAGACATGTGATTCATCATCCTGGCTCCATAACATGTATAAAGCTCATGGATAGATCCAAATGTCCCTGTTCCCCGTGGATTCATTACTAAATAGCATTTAATAACTGTGGCTTACAAAGAACATTTTGCCCTTAGTGACATACATAAAAATGCTATTGATTCACCATTATTTTTATCTCATTAATTTTTATTTTCTATATCCTAACATTTGATTTCCTTCCCAATAATCTGAATCATCTATTCCATTCTATACTCTGAAGCATAAGACAAAGTAGTTAATATCCACACAGACTTTGAATGCCTACAAACTCCAAGATGTGTCTGCATATTAGTTCTAGTAAGAATTAGTTTCAAATAAGGTGAAATAATTGGGCTCTGACAATAATATATGACATTCCTTTCTAATGAATTTAGTCTTAGTTAATTCCCCTAAATAGATTAMTGTACTTGGGAAATTTTAAGAATTATAATTGTAACCTACTTGCCTTATTAAAACTTCACATAATTTTCATTATTTTTCAAGTTACAAGATGTGAAACATACTAATGAGTATGCCTCACAGCCCTTTAAGAAATCAGCCACCTGCATTGACCAACCAGGTAATTACTTCTGCCAATACATAGCTCCATTTAAAGGTAATGAACACCAAGGGAGAAGAAAAAGCAAACATAATTAACTTTAAAAAGCATTTCTATCTCTATTCTGAACTCATTTCAGTCTCCCAACAACATTATTCGTCCTTCATTTTCTTAAAGATAGTTCCTAAAATTACCAACCAATTATCCTTTAGGCAGAAACTAGAGTGAAATAAGCTTCTTTATACATCCATAAAAACAGTTGAGTTTCTTATTTTTTTTCTTTTAGAAAGGCCATCAAAGAAACCAAATAATACAATGAAAACTGAAGTCTATTATAGTCTATCTTATTTTATTTGAAATATTTCCCCCATTAGCAAATGGAACTGGAGAGCTTTTCTTTTTTTTCCCCCTAAACTAATCATTTAAATCTTTGAATGTAGCCATAGTTAGTTTGATACACTTTGTTATTCAGCTTCCTGTTATTATAACTATTACCTGAGATAATCAAGTTACAAAGAAAAAAGGTTTGCAGCCTCCCTTTGTGATTTTCAGTCCATGATCAATTGGCCTCACTGCTTTTGGGCCTGTAGCGAGACAGCACATGACAACACATCATGAGCACCSGTGTGGCAGAGGGAAGATTGTTCACCTCATGACTTGGACTTGAAGAGGAACTGGAAGAAGATGTGGCTGGGGTACATTATCTCCTTCAAGGACATGCTTAAATCCACAAGAAGGCCTCCTACTAGGTCTCACCTCTTTAAGTTTTGCTTTCTTTCCATTGGACAAACCTAGGGCCCAAGCATTTAATATATGAGACTTTGGGAGACACTTATCCTAACCACTGCATATGCTAAGCCAATCATAGATATTTTTTATTTACTATCAGATTTGATTTTTAACTCTTTACTTTCAGTAAAAGTATTTCATTTTTTTCAAAAATTTAAAAATTCTTATTTTGCCTTATAAAAACCTATTTATAAACTATTCTACAAGATAGTATATATAGAAAGTAACTCACTCAATATTTCCTTCAATGTTAGTATCTTTATCCCAGGCCATGAAACTTGAAAACTTTTCAACTAAATTGATTTAGACATTTTTAAATGTTAAACCTATTTATTTTGAACATTATTTTATTAAAACTACTTATCAAAAATTGAAGATTATACAATCCTCTTCATATGTTTAGCATACAGTTAAACTAAGTTATAGTTTTCTTAAATGTTGAATTGAAATAAAAATATGTTTACCTCATTGAATTAAATATAGATGAATTACTGAAGTGTATGATAAAAATACCATGTTGCCTGCCAAAACTAATACTTATTGTTTAATTTTAATTTCTATGTGATATTCACATAATAGGAAATATTTTATCATATTTGGGTATATAAAATGTAAATGTATGTTTATTGATTATACATTCTAAAAGATATATAGGGAATGGTCTAAGTAAATAAAATTCAGTTTTAATTTTAAAGATAAAATTTTCCCAGCACTGAGGTCTTCAATACTCATATTATTCACCATTCCTCAGAGATCTAGCTAGTTCCAGGTGTAGGCATGAGATTTAGAGATGATCATTGGATCATGGACACTCCTGTAAAACTAGAAGATAGGGAGGTGTTGAGAGAGAGAGAGGGAGAGAGAGAGAGTGAGAGAGAGAGAGAGAGAGAGAGAGAGAGAATATGAATGTCAGAGACAAAGGAACTAACTGAAGGCCACTGGCTAAAGTTATAGAATTTCAGCAACAAAATTTAAAAAAAAGAAATAATGTTATCACCCAAATGCAAAATTAATATATATGAGGTCATAGTGATTAAAAATAAATGATTTAATAGGTAAATGGGGAGGAATGGAATGTCTTCTATATAGAATATTCAAAAAATGTATGCAAACATTTTATAAAAAAGGAGGTGGAACCTAATTCTCTATCCTTTAAGCTCAAGCAGCATGATAGTGATTGCCCTCCAAAATTGTAGAATGTGGAAAGAGGAGCTTATAGAGGGAAGAATAAATTTATATTGAGAAWTCTGACAATCATTACTCAATCAAGTTATCAAGTTTAATATCAGCATTGATAAGTCATTTTAATAACAATTTTGATATGAAATGTGAAAAATGACATTTTATATTTGTAATCCTCCTCCCCAAATGTATTACCTCATTCTACTCATCAGAAAAATCAACAAAGGAACCCAATTGTGAAACATTCTAAAAACTACTTGATCTGTATTCATCAAAACTGTCAGGCACAAGAAAACCAATAAAATCTAGGTAATTTTTAAATACCAAAAGGAGACTAAGGAAATATGACTACTAAAAGTAGTATAATATCTGGGAGCAAAATAAAGTCATCATGTCATTGAACAGAAGTATTTTTCTTGAAAAAGTAAGAACATCACCTTAAAAACAATAAAATAAAAATAAAGTATGAATTTTGGTTTATAATAATGTGGTGATTTTGGTCCTATAATCGTGACAATGTGTTATAAAAAATAACAAGGTTCAAACCAGTTTCAAGACAGATAGGACCTTCATGTGTTATCTTTACAACTATTTGAAAAATTTAAGAAAAATATAAAATCTAATTAAAAATAAATGATTGCAAATAAAAATTTCTKAAGTAAAAGAAGTTGCATTTAAAGAAAACTGAGTATATAACAGAAATAATAATTACAAATAATCATAAATATTTTAACCATTACATCCTGAATATTTTAATCTTTAAATTATAATAAAAACAAGAAATTTTTATTTATTTTCAATGCCTTACTTTTAAAGAACACACTAAAGTGTTCAAAGGAATTTCACATAAACCAAATAGAACAAAAAGCTAGTACAGCTAAACTATGATAAAGTTCATGTCTCTGACAGTATATTCTATTTTCTATATTATCTCTTAAAATAAAATTCATACTATAGATACATTAGGCAGTGCTATATAAAAACACATTCTAATTTATATTTTTATAGAATTTTTTTCAGCTAGAAAACTTGGCCTTTTATTAATGAACCTACTATATGTTCTTCTTTCCACCTTAAACATAGCTTAATTATATTGCATATAGATGAGACAAGTGAATGAGTTTAGACCAAAAGAAAATGATAGAAGCTTTAATCTAGCAGTTTGATCTATAAAAGTATCCTTTACAACCTTTTCTTTTTCTTTTTTTTTTTTTTTTTTTTATAGATCAAACTGCTCTTTTCTCCTCCATTTTTTTTGGAAGAGAGATACCTAAAAACAACAGTACCTCCATTGTGTTGAGTGAGGAAACCACAAATAAATGAAAAAAGGCAAAAGTTTTGTTGTGCTAAACCASTGTGATTAAAGAGGTTTGGTACTCACAGCAACCGACATTACTTAACTGAGAAATTGTCTTTTAAAGACTAATGGGAAAGGCTTCCTTGAAGGTGTCACTGGAATTGATTTTTTTTAAACCAAAGAATAAATGTACTTTAATTAAGTATACAAATAATCCAATTATTAATCCATTTTCTTTGTGAAGCGCAAAAATAATTTCCTTTTTTCTATTTTATGAATTTCTTATTTTCTGATTAATTTTGTTCTGAGCCTGTTAGCAATTTAGCAATCTATTTCCAAAAGAAATAKAAAGAGTATACATAAAATTGTAATTCCAGCAGAACACAGTAAAACTCATAACATTTAGTAAGTATTTAGTTGATTCARTAATTTTAAAAGTTTAGTTTTTAGAGTTAAGGAAATATGATTTAGCAAATTCTATTTCATAGGAGAAAATCCAGACCTTTTCCTATTTTGTGCCTCTCACAAATATCACAACATTCATTCATTCCTATTTGTGGCTGGCTGCTGCTCTTCATGGTCATGGGACATATGTCCTCCTTGCTTATAAAACCTAAAGTATTTACTATCTGGCCCTTTATAGAAAGCATTTGCTAACCACTGGTGTTGAAAGTTCAGAAATAGGCTACATATTTATACTAGTGCTGTGGGTTTGTTCTTACAGTGCACATTTTATCTGTGGGATACATATTTGCACTAATATAACATACATTGTGTTAAAGACACATGCATCATCTTTCKTTTAATAAGAAACAGATGACTCTACAGTGTGCACAATTAAATTATTGTTTGTCCATTTAGAGTAAAATTTACATGAAAAAATGCATTTTTAATTTATATGTCTATGAACTCATTTTCTGAAAATTTAAAGATAAAAAAGAAAGTATAAAGAAGATGTGTATTCTGTTTGTTAAATATGTGAATCTGTAAGAAATGGGGACGTAAAAGTAAGGAATTTAACCTAGTGAAAACATTTTCCCATTTTAAGGGTTATATTTCATTACAATTTGTAACATTAAAGTCTATACTACATAAAGGAATCTATCCAAAGTGTGGACTTGATTATATAGTCTGTTTATGGAGGCAAAAGGAGATAATTAGAAAAATTTTTGTATAATTATTTCTGTAGCGCTGGATACTGCAATTTGTTATATTTGTTAGTTTCTAGCATTATAATTAGATCTTCCACAAATAGCATCATTTTCACACATTTTTAATGCTATATTTCTCTTTGAAATCTTTTTTTTTTCAAAATAGTATTAATACACATGCCCTTAATACAATTCTGTTTCCATGTAGTGTTCATTCACTGGACTTAGAAAATAGTAAAGTTTGATTTAATCTGGSCTCCCTTCAAAATTTTAGTCTTAGGGACTAAAGCTAGAAAACAAACTTAAAAAATATGTTTATTTTAAAAGAAAAGGGCTTTATTATTTTGTTTTCTATTCATTATAAACTAAATTTTACTTCAGAAATAAACAAAAAATTTTAATAGATGCAAATGAATTTTCYTTTACCTTATTTAGGTAATTATTGCTATTCATCTATAGAAATTCTCACAATATAGATTACATGTACCTTCTGTATTTTGGTTGCTATGACTTTCTACTTTAATTACAATAAGCAGATATAAAGTAGTTACTCCCATTGATACTGTTGTCATTGTCCTATGTATGCATTGCCATGATGAATCATTGCTAATTTATTTATTTATTTATTTATTTATTTA